CTCTCCACACAAGGCATGTTTAGTCCAGTGGTTAGTCAAAGTTTTGGGTGGAGTTTATAAACAGATTTTCGTGTCCCTCTGAAGTACGTCCACTTATCCACGATTTGCCCCATCGCTTTTCATTCTGGCAGCCTTATTGTCTCTTCTGACTTCTCAGGCCAGTAAACATTCAGCTCTCTGCTTGAGTTCTAGCTGTCCTTCACAGCATGGACTGGGAGTGCATTCAGGTGGAAAGGTGCAGAAGGGACAACTCATCCACTGCATCACAGCTTTCAAGGTTGACCCTCTGTTTCTATCTGTTTTTGATGCTCCCTCACAGTTGTTCAGTATATTTTTTCACCCAATTTATATGGGTTAATCTCGGGAGTGATAATCTTATATAAGTTTCTCACTACTAACAGACTCAGAACTTCCCTGTTTTCTTGGGGGTATTAAACAGAAAGTGACATCTCCCAGACCAGAAAAAACTAGTACAGTTAACACCACTAAACCAGTATTACAAGAAATGTTAAAGATACTTCTTTAAGAAAAAGAAAGGAAAAAAAGAACATAAATATGAATAATAAAATGGCAATAAGTACATACCTGTCGATAATCACTTTAAATGTAAATGGATTAAATGTTCAATCAAAAGACAGCATAGCTGAATGAATAAGAAAAAGACCCATACATTGTCTATAAGAGATCCACTTCAAATCAAAAGACATACATAGACTGAAAGCAAAGGGATGGAAAAAAATATTTGCTGCAAATAGACCAAAAAAAAAAAAAAAAGCTGGGGTAATAATACTTATATCAGAAAAAACAGACTTCAAAACAAAGGCTATCAGAGACAAAAACAGACATTACATAATGACTAAGGGATCAATCCAACAAGAGAATATAATCCTTGTAAACATTTATGCACCCAACACAAGAGCACCTAATATATAAAGCAAATCTTGATGGGCATAAAAGGAGAGATCAAGAGTAATACAGTTATAGAAAAGGATTTTTAACATCCCATTAACATCAATGGGTAAATCTTCCAGACCGAAAATCAACAAATAAACAGCAGCCTTAAATGACACATTACACCAGATGGATTTAATTGACATTTTTTGAGCATTTTACTCAAAATCAGCAGAATATACATTCTTTTCAAGTGCACTTTTCTGAAATATCTCGTCAAGCAAGGAAAAATTGAAAAAAAGAATAAATGGCAACACATCAACCTAAAAACATTTTGCGCAGCAAGGGAAAAAATCAACAAAACAAAAAGACAACTGACTAGGAGAAGATACTTGTCAATGATATATCCAATAAGGGGTTAATAACCAAAAGTTATACATTTATACACCTCAACACCAAAACAGCTAATAATCCAAATAAAAAATTGGAAGAGGACCTGAATAGACAATTCTTCAAAGAGGACGTACAGATGGGCAAGAGACTTATAAAAAGATGTTCAATGTCACTAATCATCAGAGAAAAACTACAAAGGCTATAAGAGACAAAGAAGATATCATCTCACACCTCACACCTGTCAGAATGGCTATCATCAATAAATCAAAAAACAAGTGTTAGTAAGGATGTGGAGAAAACGGACCTCTCATGCCCTCTTGGCAGGAATGCAGATTGGTGCAGCCACTATGGAAAACAGTATGGAGGTTCCTCAAAAAATTAAAAATAGAGCTCCCTCACCATGTTTGGGCAGCTCGGCTGGTTGGAGCATCATCCTATTCACTAAAAGACTGCAGATTTGATTCCCAGTCAGGGCACGCACCTAAATTGTGGCTTCAATCCCTGGTCGGGGTGCGTGTGGGAGGCAACTGATTGATGTTTTTCACACTGATGTTTCTTTTCTCCCCTTTTTCTCTCTAAAATCAATAAGTATATCCTCAGGTGAGGATTAAAAAAATAGAACTAACCCCATGACCCAGCAATTCCACTTCTGGGTATTTATCCAGAGAATTTCAAAATACTAACTCAAAAAGATACATGTACCACTATGTTTACTGCAGCATTATTTACAATAGCCAAGAAATGGAAGCAACCTAAGTCTCCATCAATAGATGAGTGGATAAAGAAGTGGTGGTACATATACATGGAATATGACTCGGTCATTAAAAAAAAGAATGAAATCATACATTTGCAAAAACATGGATGGAAATAAAGAGTATTATGCTAAGTGAAATAAGTCAGATAAAGACAAATAACACTTTTTTTCCACTTATATGTGGAATCTAAACAACAAAATAAAGAAACAAAATTGAAATAGACTCATAGATACAGGGAACAGACTGATGGTTGCAGAGGGGAAGGAGATTAGGGGGTTGGGTGAAAAATTAAGAAGTTTGAATTGGCAGTTACAAAATAGTCATGGTGATATAAACTATAGCATGTGGAGTATAGTCAATAGTATTGTAATAACTGTGTATGACGGCAAGTGGGTACCAGACTTATGGGGGAGGGATCACGTCATAAATTATACAGATGTTTAAACACTATGCTGCATATCTGAAACTAATGTGAAGTAATATTAAATGTTAACTGTAATAAAAAAGAAGAAAATGACACCGTTATCACCATTATCTCTCCAGAATTCCCATAGATTATTTTTAATGGAACAAGCTTTACATTCACATACTCTTAAGATACCTGTTTTCTTTCACCTAAAGCCCAACAGTATCCAATTAAGTTTAATTATAAAATATAAATACCATCAGATAAGCCATCCATAAGATACATTTAAAATACAATTTAAACCTAGAAAAAAATAAATATTCTTGATTGGGCCTCAAATGCCTTGCACAGTCTAGTTCTGTACACTGCTTCAATGTCATCTTTTATCATTCTCTGCCTAGTTCATTATCTTCAGCTACCTTAGCTTTATGTTCTTCCTAAATACCAGAGTACCTGCTGTTCCTAATATCTGGAATGCCCTTCCCTCAGATAATTACATGGTTGGTCCTTCTGATTATTCAGGTCTCTGATCACATATCACCTCCTCAGAGAGGCCTTTTTTGATTAACCTATGTGAAAGAGCAAACCTTCTCCTCCACCCCAATTATTCTCTAACATCTTACTCTGCTTTACTTTCTTCAGATCACTAATCATTATCTGAAATTACTCATTCAACATCTGGCTCAACGTCTGGCTCATTGTCTGGCTCCCCACTAAAAGGTAAGGGTCAAGAGGACAGAATCTTTGCCTTGTTTGTCAATGTAGCAGTAGTGTCTTGAATAGTTGTCTGGCACAAAGTAGGTTTAATAAATATTAAATTAATGAAGAATGACATGAGAGGTATTGAGGTAAATCCAACTTCCCCCAATAAACAAATGTGTCAATAAAAAATTAATTTAAAATACTTATGCAAGAAGTAAACAGTATTATTATATAAACAATAAATTCCCTGTGTTATTTTAAAATATAGCCCGTATTTTGCCTTATGTTACTGCAGTGAAGCATGACACAATATGTTATAAAATCATGTGAATCAACACACTAAATATATATTCTCAATTTGTATGAGGAAAAAGACCGAACTGAATAGTAAAAAAAAGAAAGAAGACCTGGCTTGTGGGACTCAGTGGACTGAGCGCTGGCCTGTGAACCAAAGGGTCACTGGTTCGATTACCATTCAGGGCACACGCCAGGGTTTCGGGCCTGGTCCCTAGGAGGGGGCACCCGAGAGGCAACCACACATTGATGTTTCTCTCCCTCTCTTTCTCCCTTCCTTCCCCTCTCTAAAAATAAATAAGGAACAACAGGTACTTACGGATAGTATTTACCTTCAGGAGATTTACATGCTTAATTTTTAAAACATAAGGCTCTATTAAAACATAAAATGTCTTAAATTCGAGCCAAAGCAACAATAATAATAATGTTATTCTTCTACATAATAGTTGTTCAGGGTCCCAACTTCTATTAATTTTTGTTTATTTTGTTACTCTTTTTATTAAAATTACAATTAAGTCAGACATGAAATTAGTTTTGGAAGACAGTCACTTTGGTGTATTATTTAAACTTTTGAGGATGCAGGTTCTTCTAATCATGCAGAACTAGCAAGACATGTGAGGTATAAAATTGATATTTACTTTTATTTTCGACAAAAAAATCAGAGTTATAAAAAGTTTTTCAGAAGCCATTGTAACAAATTACTTCATTGTATAGAATTGCCATAGAAATTTTACCGGTGAATAGCAGACAGGGCAGCCTAGTTTTGCATACATATTTCCAAAATGTAGAATTCAACAGAGTGGGATTGATAGAGGAAAATCTAATTCCTAAAATGGGGATATGTTATAAATGTAATAGTTTTTTTTTGCATGATTTTAGTAATTTCAACCTAAATTAATCAAGCTAATTTGTTGTAATAGGAACTGATGTAAATAGATTCCTTTCACAACGAAATCTAAGTATATGAAATTCTATCGCTATTTAAATTGATTCCTGTCGAAAGTTTTCTGTGAGAGCTATTACTTCACCAGAAATGCTCACAGAGACTATCCATAGATCTAATGGTATTATAAATGGACAAACAAATAAATACCATAGACAATAATAATCAAGGCTAAATGCCCTGGCTTCACCCCAAATCATTGAATAGTATCAGACTTGGTTGTGCTCACTATCATTGTTATTTATCTTTATTTAGAATAGTGACATTGTAACTCATGAATGTCAAAGCAGGCCCATATGAATTTTGCTTCTGCGCTAAACTTAAATATTCAATGCTTAATCTTGATCTAGAAATGTTGCTACTGTTTTTGTTTTAAAATGTTTTTGTTTTAAAACCTGACTTCCACCAAAAATGTAAAAAGAAAAAGAAGGAAAAGGAGGGAGTGGGGGATTGTGGGAAGGATTATCTTCATTATCTTGGCAAGCAGGTAAAATTTTGCCTAGAGCTAAACAAATTTTGCTGATAATTCATTTGTCAAAATATCTGGAAGTGAAAGATTTACAGGAGTTAAGAGGTAATTACATGAGCAAAGATTTGAAAACCATTCGTTGTGTTTTTAACAGGTCTCTTCTTTCACTTGCACAGCTATAATAGACAACTCACTCTGTTCACTTATTTTTTTAAAAAGATTTTATTTATTTATTTTTAGAGAGAGGGAAAGGGAAGGAGAAAGAAAGGAAGAGAAACTTGGATATGTGAGAGAAACATTGATTGGTTGCCTCTTGTATGCTCTTCAGTGGGGACCAAACCTGCAACCCAGGCATGTGTCCTGATCCGGAATCCTACCCGTGATCTTTCGCTTTGCAGGAAGACGCCCAACAGAGCCACACCGGTCAGAGGACACACACTCTGTTTACTCTTGATGTTCCAGTGTGAATCTGTTTCTGAGTCACTGGAGTAAATGTCAAAGACAGGAAGTTCTAGACCATAGCTTATCATTCTGAGTAGTTGCAATACACCATAGTCTCACAAACACTTGCACTGTGACCTGAATACCTGGAAGAGAATAAACACTATTACGTATGAGTTAGACTTTGCTTTTCATGAACCTTTCATATACAAAAGATCAATTCACTTGATCAATCAACTGAAGAGTCAAAACAATGGTGAAGAGCCCTTTTCAGAGAAATCTGTGTACTTTTATGCACTGGGCCTTCTTCGCAGTGGGCAGGTACTGAAGTGACATCATTAGATAGATTGTCAGCATAGACTTCTATTTGTGTAATTTCATTTTCAAATGTAATCTAAAAATGTAAATCATATGAGAATTATATAAAAGGTAAATCTATCTGCTATGGTTCTATCTTTCCAAAAGTTACAAGTAGTAAGAGTAAAGATAACATTTTTTCAAGGTCACATTCGGAAGGCTGGAATTTGAACCAGGTCAAACTGACTTCATTGTCCAAGTTCTTAAGGACTCTGTCATGCTGTCTTTTACTCTTTCTAAATCATAAATTATTAAGCATTCTGGTCAAGCCGAAAATCTAAAGCTATTAAGCTCTTTGCTTACAACCCATTTTTTCCCCTAAATCAACAGCTGCCTGAGATACTACTACTAGCATTAAATTACTGGATATCATAGCAGTAGCATTATTCGAGAAAACCCAATCATCAGGGTTTTATACTTTTAGAGAATGCTTAATAAGATAATAAGATTGGCTTTAGTGTTTTTATACTTTCCTGAGGAAAATTACAATGTGAAATGGAAATTTTGATTTGTGGGGGAAGTAAGAGATAGAGAGGAGGAGGATTTGGATACTTAGAAAGTAACATAGACTGAGTATCCAGAAATTATGTGGAAGAGAATAAGAAAAGATATTTGAAAAATGTAGGAGGGCTTGAAAGAAGAAAAAATCAGAAACGACAGGAAAATAAAAACAAAGTTACAGTGCTTTTGTCATTTTACTTATGGTCCTGGGAGTAGCAACTGCCTTCATACCACTGAAAAAATATTTCAGCAGACATCTTTGGTTGCTATAATACAAGCTATTAATACTCAAGTTAAAGAAAACTTTGTGACAAAACTTTTGTGAAGAGTTCTTGGTAACACAAATAATTACATCTGATATTAGTGAAGACTTAAAAATTTGTCTCATCTTTAATTGTGTTTATAAAATTATGACTAAGTTCCACTGGCTACATCTATGTTTAAGCCAAGAATTTTAAAATTTAGAATACGTACATACAAGATCTGTCCAGAAAAAGTCCAACTATTGTTTATATAACGAGAACAGTTTGTGCTACATCGATGCAACCTGTCCTCCAAAGAGAGTGGACTGGAATGCACATGAATGAACAATGACCACTTAGCTGTACTAGTCAGTGGGGGTGGTAGATGCTGTTGAGTGAGCATGTGTACTGTGTGGCTGTTGCATTCAATATAACTGAGTGAATAGGGCAACAAGTATGGGTCAAGTTTTGCATTAAGCTTGAACATTTCCCCATGCCAGGGGTATCCAATCCAAGGCACACAGGCCGATGTGGCCCGGGATGGCTATGAATGTGGCCCAGCACAAAACTGTAAATTTACTTAAAACCTTTTTTTTTGCTCATCAGTTTTCACTGGTGTTTTTGTATTTAATGTGTGGCCCAAGACATTGCTTCTTTTCCAGTGTGGCTCAGAGATGCTGGAAGGTTTGACACCCCTGCTCCATGGGAACTCTTTGGATAACTTAGAAAGCCACAGATATGGGCAAATGGTGAGTGGAAGCTTCATCATGACAACATGCCCACTGCTGCATCACATCTTGTGCAGAGTTTTCTAATGAAACATCAAATCACCCAGGTGACTCAGCCCCGCTACAGCCCAGATTTGGTGCCCTGCAACTTCTGGCTTTTCCCAAAACTGAAATTGCCTTTGGAAGGGAAAGGATTTCAGACTGTTGATGAGATTCAGGAAAATACAACTGGGCAGCTGATGACAATTGGGAGAACTGTGTGAGATCCCAAGGTACCTACTTTGAAGGGGACTAAGGTGTCATTGTCCTATGTACAATGTTTCTTCTTCAGTAAATGTCTCTATTTTTCATAGTATATGGGTGGATACTTTCTGGACACAACTTGTGTATCTTTACAAAACAGATATATGCCTGATAAAATGAAATTTTAGTAACTTAATCAGATTTTAAAAATAACTTTTGTTCTATATATAACAATACATTTTATCACTGAGAAAATTTACATGATACAGAGAAGAAAAATACCTTAAAAATTGGCCATAATATCATCATGCATGGTTAACAACTTTATATTTTGGCATACTTTTTCTTTTTCTATGCATTTAGAAAATTTGGGATCATATGTTTTATGATCTATTATATTTTCCCTTTTAATACATCATGTTGCTATGTTATTAAATATTATACCTCATAATTTTAATGGCTTCAAACACTTTATTGTACAAATATACTGCAATTTATTATAACCACGGTATTGGAAATCTTTAAACATAAATCTTTGTATATGTATTTAATTACTTCTTCATAATTAAAGGTTAAGAAGCAGTAGAAATCAAGATGGCGGAGGAGTGAATGGAAGTCACACTGACCTCCTCCCAGGACCAATCTGGAATTACAATTAAATTGTGGAGAAATCACCTAAAACAAACAACTGAACAATAATAAGAGAGGAGCATTATAACCTCGGACAGATAGAAGAATCAGCTTTAGCACAACCTAACTGGTAAGGAGTGCAGTAGAGACTTGAGAAGGCAGGAGGGCACCCACGGGTGGCAGCGCCAGAAGGATATTGAAATGGCCAGCTGGATCCCCCTGAGAAGAGCGGGGTCTAAACCCTAAGCAGGGATCTCCAGCCTACAGCACCAGAGCCCAAAAAGTACAGAGATAACAGACAGCTGCAAAAAGTGCAGAGTTGCTCTCTGCCAGAGACAGGCCTCCGGAGATAAAAAGAGCCGTTTAAAGGGCCAACGCATAAATTTTTATTTGAAGCCACTTACTCTGGTCTTTGGCAAAGGTGGGAGTAGAATGAGCTGGAAACGCCTGAAAGACTGGGGAAGGAGGCTTTGGGGAGAGAACTGAGAGAGTGGTTGGGGGGATCCCAGTGTTGCTACGTGTGGCAGCAGGCATCTTGCTCAGGCAGACCACTCTCCTGAGAGGTAACAGTGTGAAAGGACAGAATAGCCCTGCCTCCAGGAGGGACGCTGCCCTGGCCTAGTGGTGCTAAAGCCTGACTGTTGAACAGAGTAACAGCCATAGATAGTAGATCCTTGGATAAAGGGGGCCAAGAGTGGTCTAGGGGCACCTGAGGAGAGACTGGAGACGGAGGCTTTGGGGAGAGAATGGAGAGAGTGGCTGGCAGGATCCTAGAGCTGACTAATCCCCCATGTGGCAGCAGCCATATGGCTCAGGCAGACCACTTCCCTGAGCAGCAGCATGAGAGGACACAGTAACCCCGCCCCAAGGAGGGATTCTGCCCCACCTTGTGGTGTCTAAGCCTGACTGCTGAGTGCAGTGTGACTAGATTAACAACTGAAGGAGACAGCCACAGACAGTAGATTCCTGAAAGTCTCGAACAGATTGCCTAAGTTCAGACAGGGTCAACATCTGATGACAGGGTCATCAGAAGCAGAACCAGAAAGAAAAAACAGAGGCCTCTTACCATAGAAGTTCATACCACAAAGTCAGGAAATCAAGGCTGATCAATTTAAGAAACAGAAGCAAGAAAGCAGAGTCTCACAAATAATGGGAAGACAAAGAAACACCCCTCAGTCAAAGGGAAAGGAGGAATCTCCAGAGAGGACTAAATGAAATAGAGGCAAGTAAACTATTAGATATTGAATTCCAAACAACGGTTCTAAGGAAGTTCAGTCAGCTCAGTTAGCTCAGAGAGAATTACAAAAATCTACAGGGAAACTATGAGGATCACACTGCAAACTATATCAGCATGAAAAAAGACATAGAAACTATCAATAAGAGACAAGAGGAAATGAAGAATACAATTTCTGAATTGAAGAACACAGGAGAAGGAATCAAAAGCAGGCTAGATGAAGCCAAGGATCGAATCAGCAAGCTGGAGGATAAGGTAGAAAAAAGCTCCCAGAAGGAACAAGAAAATGAAAAAAAGACTCAAAAAGAATGAAGAGACATTTAGGGAAATGCAGGACAACCTGAAACATAATAATATCCAGATAATAGAGATACCAGAAGGAGAAGAGGAGGAAGGGATAGAGAACCTGTTTGAAAAAGTAATGATGGAAAACTTCCCTGATTGGAGGAGAGAAAAAGTCACACAATTTCAGGAAGCACAGAGGGTCCCATTCAAGGGGAAACCAATGAGGCCCACTCCAAGACATCATCATGAAAATGGCAAATATCAAAGATGAACAGAGAATCCTAAAGGAAGCAAGGGAGAAAGAGGTAGTAGCATGCAAGGGAGCCTCGGTACATCTAGCAGCTGACTTCTCAACAGAAATACTACAAGTCAGAAGGGAATGGCAAGAAATATTCCAAGTCATGAAAAGCAAAGGCCTGCAACTAACACGGCCCTACCCAGCACGGCTCTCAATTAAAATGGAAGGAGAAATAAGGGGTTTCCCAGATAAAAGAAGGCTAAAAGAATACATCTCCACCAAACCAGCATTACAAGATATGCTAAAGGGACTGCTTTAAGAGATGAAGAAAAAGAGTCTGTGAATACCCAGTTTCTTTCACAGTCACCAATACCTGATATTACCAATATTTTTAATACTTATTAATCTGATTGGGACAATGATGTGTTATTTTAATTTTTACTTTATTATTTGTTGAAACTAAACCCGTTTTTTTAATATTTCTTGCTAATTTCAATTATTTTTTAAAAGCTTTAAATGGCTTTTTGTTACTCTTTATCCATTTTTTTGATTAAATGTTTGTATAACTTTTTTCCGAAAAAAAACAACTATTAACCCTTTTTTAGCTGTGTTGGAAATACTTTCCTATTCTATTACTTGTCCTTTAACTTTTTTATATGTATATTACTGTATAGTCTTAAATGTTTAATATAGTCATATTGCCAATATTTTACTTTATAGCTTCTGGGTTTGAATATTTTACTTCGGGGTAAGAAAAATATTATTTTGTATTTTCTCTTAAAACTCCTTAGATATTACATATTGATTTTTAACTCACTTGAATATTTTTTTGTATATTGTGTGTAATAGGGCTCTATAGTTATTTTATTTCAAGTAATAGTGGTCCATGCACCTTATTTGTTGAATAAGCCTTATTTTCCCCAATGATTTGAAATA